TTTGTTAAAATATGGACAATTTCTTCTAGAAGTGAACTTTCTTGCCTTCCCAGGTTTTAAGACTAGCCTAGCCACCAAGGATTTTTCATATCCTGCTTCTTGTGCCATAGCAACATCAGCTTCATTTTCAGTCCTGATTACATTTTCATTTGCTTCCAGGGCATCAGCTATTTTTAGTAAAATTTGTTTCCTTTCTTCTGAAGATATTGCCTGCAAAGTAAAATTAAGATATTAGGATGCTTCACTAACAGCTCAATAATATCAATGATCTTTCACACATTTGGTAAATGTGAAGATAAAAAAGACACCTGCAGCCTTCTGGAGCATTCCCTGGCTGCAACTGCCATCTCACGTGCATCAACCTCTTTTACTTGGACCCACTCATGTGCATCTTTATGGAAGAGAGTTCCTATACGTTGTCCTTGGAGAACATTAATGATATTTTCAGCTGCAAAACCACTGTAAGGAGAAAAAAAATGATAATAACAAGGACAAACCAACTTGCAAACATGATCATCCAATACAGTCAGTGTACTTATAATACACTTGATCTCATGGTGTTCTTGGGGTAGAACAACAAATGAAAAGAAAAGGAGGGGTTTCATAAGTGATTCTCTCATTCTATATGAATGTACACAAATTTTCATTTAAATTTATGACCTCAAAACATATGGTGGTCAAAAAGACATACAGAGAAGAAATTGAAGGGATAAGGAGTAAAGAAACAAGTGCAAGCAATTTAAACAAATTTGCCATTTTCCAAAATTGTTTGTTGTTTAATGAAACAATTTGTTTAGATATCAAAACAGCACTGATAAAAAATGCTTTCATTAAAACCTACATAGTAAATACAGTAGAGTAAAAATCTTTCCCAGCAATATAGTGTAACAGCGCACCTGGTAATAACAACGGGAATGCCGGCTTCAGCTGCATGAACAGCAGCTTTTACTTTGGCTGTCATTCCACCTCTTCCCACTCTAGACTTGTCGCCAAAAGTAATTTCATTCTGATGCTTTTCCTTAATATATGTATGAATAAGCTTTGAATGTGGGTCACTCGGGGGGCCACTATAAAGACCTTCTACATCACTCAACAAAACAAGAAGGTCGGCTTTTAACTCCAAGGCCAATAAAGCAGATAAACTATCATTATCCCAAAATATCCCAGAAGAATCCTGCACAGGAAATACGTTAATGACTCTTAATTAAATTGGTACAAATAGAAATAATATAGTAATCATTCCAGGTAGCAGACTCCAAACTAAACTTCCAAGTTGAAAATAATCAAGTTTAAATGAAAAATGTTGACCTCCAAAGAAACAAATAAAACTTCTGATCAAGAAGAAAAAACGAGTCTAATTTCCCTTATACAAGTCGTTATTCCCTCCGTTTCTTTTTATTTATCATGTTAGAAACAATCAATTATACTAGTTTTCATGATAAAATAATCTTACCAAACTAAAATACCCTTGTTTCATAAATAATTAACTACCACGTACAGTTGCAGCTATACATCTACTGATGTATTTATTTCTTTGGAGTTTTATTGAAGAAAAAAAAATTACAGTAACACTTTTTTTTTATACATATATTTTAAGATTAATGATATTTAGTCATTAAAAATTTACACTCATATGCTTATGCTTGGGGACAGAATTCCAACTAAATATTCAGCAGAAAGAACCTCGAATACAGAATCAACATTAAAGCCTAACACAACAATAATTATATTTCTCGCAGCTAGAGTCTACATCACGCCATGTCACCTACAGAGAACAAATTCAAACTCATCGATTCCGCGAAACAAATTAGGTCAAGCTCGTAGTCAACAAACCTCATATGGAGCCTTCCGAGTACTGACAGCATCGTTCTCATTGAACACCGGAATAACCTTGAGCGCCAACAACGACTTCACGGTTTCGGTAAGCTGCTTCCTGAAATCCTTATCTCGAAAATCGTTGTCCGTCACAAGAAGCTGAGCAGACGTCACGTCAAGCTGAAACCGCGAAACCAAAATAACAAAAAAAATTACAGTTGAACAAAACCTAGATTCAGTTACTCAAACAATTCTAGCGTTATTGCCGTATTACAATTGAGTTCCTCCACCGCAAATTAAAGCATCTAAAAACTGAATGTAACAGTAATTGACCTGAGTGAACAAAGTGTCGTAGAGAGCCATGAGACTGTTCTGTCCAACGGCGGCGCAGGCCTTGCCGTCGAGTTCGAGTTGGGGTTTCTGAAGGTCTGCGAAGCTGCTGTTGATTAGTTTGCGGTAGCGGAGTCGTTGGCGGCCGATACCGACGGCGCCGGAGGAGACGAGAATAATGTCGTATCCGAGAGAGTTGAGTTGTTTAATCTGCTCGCAGAGAGCGCCTAATCTTCCAACCGCTAACCTTCCCTCTTCTCGAGTCACGACGGCGGTGCCGACCTTGATGATCACGCGCTTCACGTTTCTCATGAAGCTTCGAGAAGGATCCAAGACCTCCATGTCTAAGTGCCGATGCTGCAGTGGAGTAAACGTTCCAACCAGAAATGCAGATGCAAAACGAAATGGAGATGGAAATGGAAATGGAAATGGTCTACAGTTTTGTCCATTGATTTTATTTTACTATTACGTAATAAGTTAATGTTTTAGAATTAAATTTATTAACTATAAGGGTGAGATTTATAACTGCACACCATGCGGTTTTATTTCAAACTATAGCTGTTGTTACCCAGACCCGGCCTATCGTGGCTTGACTATTTGGTGGACTAATTTAACTTATATATTTTATTAGTGAGTTCAAAAAAATTAAATTTAGTCTACACAGGTTGGTGGGTTAAATGTGTTGGCTCACCTTTAAAAAAATAATTTTTTTTTCTTAATATACAACTAAAGCCCAAAAATTTAAACCTATTTTAAAAATATGAGATTCTTAATTAAGATATTCATAAATGAATCATTTATCTCAAACATTAAATGATAATTTTAAATACAATCAAATTAAATCTAAATAATCTCAAATAGATAAATATAATCCAAAATCATCTTAAATTTTAAATATAATTTAAAATCATCTTAAATTTTAAATACAACCCAAAATCATAAAAATTACAAATCATAATCTAATATTAAATCATTATTGTCTCATGTTAGACTGCATTATAATATAATAATTATTATATTTTTTTTTAAAAAAAATTAAACACGGGTTGGTGAGCCAACCTGACTCATTACGAGTTCAACCCGGATGAGTCGGATTTAAATTTAACCTGTATTAAATTTTTTAAAAAAATTTTAACTCAACCTAACTTGAACCTGTGATGGACCGGATTGGCTCACCGAGTCAAACCCATTGAGAGCTCTATTTCAAGCGGTGGATGATCCAAATCCTGAAATCCTCTCCATGGAATCCAATTGAAATGCGCGGCCCAATCACAACTTGCCGCGTTTCTCTCATTCACCTCCCAAGGGTAAAAATATATATTTTTTTCTTTCTCTATAAAATTTTACTATCTATAATTAGCTGATAATTATAAAAAAAATTTCACTAATAGTATATATCTTAATTTTCCAATTTCTACAAATTGAATGAATATAAGCATTTTAAAATACAGGTATTCTAAAACGTGTCAGTAAATTTTATTTTACATGACTAAACTTTGTAATAAATAAATATTTTAATATTAAAATTATTATAAGTAAAATTTGTAAATAGAATTAATTTTTAATATATAAATTATATTTTAAATTTATGATAAATAATTTATATTATGATATAAACGTATTTTTTATTAATAAGTTAAAACTTATATTAAAGTTTAATTTAAAAATTTAAAAGTAAAAGAAATTTATAAAAATGTTTTCGTAAGAATTATTAAAAATGTTTCTATTAAAGAAAATCCTCTAAAAATATTATTGTTCAAGAAAAAAATATTAATTATTTTAAAATAATAGTTTATTTTTTGTTATTTTGAAAATTATAAAAAATACAAATAAGCTATTATCTTTGGATAAAGAGATTACCAAGTACGTGATACTTAGTGCCTATTTAAATGCAAATTAAAAATATTTTAAAACTTTTTTACTAAAAATAAAGAGTGAAAAACACTTTATAAGTATATGTCAACTTGTCATTTGAATGCACGTGGATCTTCTGCAACTGCGTAACCATCCGATAGTTATAAAAGGTAAGAATATAAAATAATGTTGGATTTGTTGGCTGAATTAAAAATATGCTGTAGCCATCTTGCTGTCCTGCAACCAAAACTGTAAAATTCAAATAAGCTAAATTAAAAATTAATTAATAATATACACTCCAGCTGGGTTTATCGCTGTATTCCCAATTTTTTTTTATGAGCCCTATCACCTAATTGTATTTGCTGTCTAGGGTTAGGTATGAGTTGACTTGCAAAATTCCATCGGCATGTTCTTGGTTAAATTACTTTCTTTCTCTTCTGAATTTAAGTTAGCCTTTTCTATTTAAAATTTCGTGTAATCGTCCAACATTGCAGACCAAGTCTTATAATTTATAAATCATGTGCATAATAAATTAATTATCCAATTGTTATGATTACCCTCAAATTAAATATAAAAAAAAAAACTAACTATGATGAAATATTTTGTTATTTTAAAAATTATACAAACATTTTCTATCGAGCTGTCAAGACAATTAAACTTTGGAATGCAACTCTAGAGTCAAATAAGTAATTTAGCCCAATTTATTGAGAATGAGTGACCATAAACATAATTTAGATGATATTGAAATTAATAGAATTTAATATTTTTTTAACCCAAACCTCAAAAAAACCATATATTTCAAAATAATTTCATGTATGAAATTAAAATAGCTTATACCTTAAGAAAGTAATTCGTAATTTACTCAATAAAAAAAAATCAAATAAACCCTTAAATATTTTTTTAAAATAATTAAATAAACTCAACCAAAAGAGTCGATTGAATCCATCTATTAAGATTAAGCAGTTTTGGTCCCTCCTAAAAACATGCACAAAAAGCTGTCATCTATCAATTGAGTTAGACCTCTATTAAACTGCTCCACCTAGTACATATTCCAACTAAAAATAACATGATGCAAGCGTGTTATGGGAGGAGCGATATTACAATTTACAGTGTCAATTTCAAATAGTAGATCAAATGAGCAAAATTTGATTCACCAGTACAGGAAATTGCCTTGGCTTCACGCAAAACAGCTACTTTAAAAAAAAAAAATCGATTAAAGAAAAGATTATCTTGACGCAGTATATTTACAGAAATATGCAAGAAGCTCAAACATACGCAGATACTACAATCATGATTGACCATCCCCTTCCAAAGTATTGGGTCTACCACAAGACTTTAGGCCAAAATGTTACGAACACTCAGACCCAGCTGACACAGAAATCGCACTACTCTGCAATTCTTTCCCATTCCATTCTAGTAACTCCAAAATACACAAACCAATTATGCTTCAGACAATTCCACTCGCGTCTTGAACAAAGTTAGCCAATGAAGTGAGCTCATGATGATAGTGCTTGGGTCTTATTCTTCACTGCTGCAACGCATTTTAGCTACGCAAAGAACCAAGCCTTGATGAAGATTGCCAAACCTATTTGCAGGATAAATGCTGCAATAATTGCCGCTGAAAGCTCATTGCCTTCTATGTAAGACCTCAGGTTTAAGGCAACAAAGCTTGCTGAGGCAACACCCGTAAGGAGTATTATAATCCACCGAAGAAACTCAACAGGAATTATCAACAGAAACTGAAAATATCCCAAGAAAATGAATTAGATAGCAATGTCAAAGACTCCACAAAATTAAAGCATAATTAGTGAGCTAGTGATGTAATTTCCAATCACAACTGAAAAAATTTTAATTTGAACTTAAATCGTAATTTATGGTAACAACAAACATGTGAAAAGAAGTCAAGGTTATCCAGATCAATCTGGATATTGTGATATACTGATATATTATAAATGCTGAATAGAAATGAGAAAAAAATTCATTGGACAATTTGATTCATTCATTGCAATATTATTACCACCTAAGCCTTTCTTTCTAAGTCGTATTTGCATAATGATTGATGTGAGTTTGAGCCTGAAGGATATTTGACCTTTAAAGGATGAGCACCTCACCTTGTTTAGGCACTGTCAATGCCAATTTCCCCTTCAGGCCCACATCCCCCACACTGAACATATGTGCGGTATAAATAATTGTGCAATATTATTTGAGGTATAAATAATTTTACAATTTACAACATTGTAGAAAGCAGAAACTTACAGAGGAGAAGATGAAAATGGTGAGGGAATACCCCCACATGCACCAAAACCTTATAAGGCTAGCATTTGAACCCATATACTGAAGGAAGAAGTAGTATGCCAATGGGACCACAATTGCATAGCCATAGATAGAGCATGCAGCCACATTCACATAGCTGACATCAAAGCTCCAAGAAGTACTGTTTTCTGAGTTTTTGAGAATAAGGTACGTGGCCAGATTTCCAAGTGAGGCAAGCACAAAAACTAATGTTGTTGAGATCCATACAAGCCCATATCTATAACAACAGAAAAAAACCGCACCATTAGTATTAGATATCCATTAGTATGCACTATTTATGCTTTTTGGGGAAGGGTGCTGAAAATCTAGTTATGTTCAGCAAATGTCTCCTTTAACTCAAATATCTAAAGGAAATAAGAGAAAATGGTCTGGAAGAAAAATGACAGGCATTTTCCCAAAATGTCATGGTAACAGCTTAATTAAATTAAAATTCCCCCCAAGTACCATATTTCAGTATGTAATCCAAATGAGTATTCTATTTTGATAATTGATATTTGAAAGTATAAAAGCATTAGGGTACAAAAAATAACGCACAAATCAGGGTTAGCATCTATCTTGCTGAAAAAGTCTGCAGCAACTGGATTCAAGGAACTTATCAATCTGGTCAGTACAACATCCGTATCTACATTGAAATACTGTGTGTAAGATGAGATGCTAAAGACTCCCCTCCAGTTGTTTGCCGGCTGTTGTTCGAAAGCTTCTACATGGATGAACAAACAAGAGAATAATAAATGGCATCATTAATATATCAGCAAGTGACAATTAAAACAGAAAATACAAATATCCACTATTCACAAATCTGATTATAGAATCAATCAAGGGTGTGAATCTTGCCATCTTGGACAAAGATAGATGAAACTAAAATCTTTAGATAATTCAAAATTCAGAAAAGCAATTGGTTTCAACTTTGGGAACCATTTAAGATATGCAATTATTAGTTAAATAAAACCATAATTAAAATTTAGAAATGTTTGATGTTAGGATATAGTGTTCTATTTAACTTGTTTGGAGGGAAATTGATGATTGATGTAATAAGATAAAAAAAAATTGATTACTTTGCCATACTGAATAACATAAGAAAATATAAAATAATCAAAAACTAAAATTAATAAGTATGATTAATTAGCCAATAAAATTCCTTTTAACCAAACGAGACACCTGCAATTGTCATGTCATGAGGAAGCAGCCATAGACTACATATTGTTAAATAGGTTAAAAAGAGGGAGGGAAGAGAGAAAAAAGCAGACAAAGAAACAAATATCACAAGAATTTGAGAACATACCAGTAGGACTGCCAAGAGTTTGATATCCTCTTCCTCTGTCTCCTCCATTGTTGGGAGGGAATATTTGCATACTCGCATTGTTGGCTACATGCATCATTAATGCTCATAAGCAATTTGTTTAGAGGAACTTAAACATTAAAAGTAGGAAATAATATACATCTCAACATGAGAAAAAAAGTTCAATGCTATAACTCCATACCCACATGTTTCGTGGTATTATTTTCTTCAGTAATGACAGCCTGAGCACCAAACAAGTAAAATAAAGAACCAAAAATATTGAAACAAATTAGAACACATTCAACAGAACTTGTTAACAAAAAAGAAACACAGAACAATAATTTAGGTCAGACAAGTTCATCAATAGAATAACTTTAGCCGTTAATTACAAGAACCATTAAATTTTTAAATCAAAAGGAATCAAAACATGAAGAATTAGAAAGCCACGAGTGAACGAGATCAAATTAATGTCAAAAAATTAAAACCACAAGCATAATTAACACAATTCACAGTTCTCCTACTTATTTTAGAAATGACTTTACAGCTCTTTCTATTTTATCATTCTATAATCAAACAATTACACTTCTATTGCCGCTAAATTTCCACTCCAATTAACTTAATCGTAAAAAAATCCATTACGAAATTAATTTTTATAACACTATCAAGCATGCAGGGAGTGAATTGAAGCAATAATTGCAGCGAATAGTGAAAAGCGCAAATAAAAAAGGAAAAACGAAAGATGCTCGCTCACAGGAACTGAACCGAGCAAGTGGCTAGTGGGAAGACCGGTGTAAGAAGACTCCTCCATCGAATAGGGTACAATGCAGAGAAGAAGAAAAAACGCGCGAGAACAAAAGCTCGATAGTTCAAAGAAGCATTCAAGGCTTCCGAGTCGGAAATGGAATCGAGCCCTAGATAGCAGAAGAAACCTTATGTTTTTCTTTTTCGTCGTTTGGAAGGAACGGGCACGAGGACTGCAAACAAAATAGCGTGCTCCCTGATACACAGGATTGGACCCCACCTTCAATTTCAATTCGCCGGGCCACACACTTACCTATTTCTTCATTTATTTAATAGTTTAATAATCTTATTGTTTTTGCTTTACCTCTTACACGGGCCTCTCTTTCCAACGAAGCTCGCGTGATTGGGCTACGAGAATGGGCCCGCTCTATGGGCTCCGCATCTTTCTGTTTAGCTTTCCAGCAAAAGCGCACGTGCATGGCATGTGCGTTGAGATATTAAATGATGAAAAAAATTGGGCTCAGCGTGGATCAGTTTGCGAGGCCCATGTATTTACCCAAATTAAATTAATTAACAAAAATGTGCTCTATTGTGTCTGAGCCCGGGTTCGAACCGGGGACCTCTAGTGTGTGAGACTAGCGTGATAACCAACTACACCACCCAGACATGTTGATGCATATACATAACAAAGGATATTCATGTATGATGCATGTGCAACTAAAGTTGACTTTGTTGCCTTCTTTTTGTCTTCAACAACCTCACAATTCCCGAAGTCTGATAACACTGTACTACAATGTTTCAGTTTGTATTATTGATATTATGCTACTCCGTCGTAGCGGCACAAGCAGAAAGCAATTCCTCTCCTTACATGTACATCTCACCCAACACAGTGTTCCAGAATTACGAGAAAATGGTTAAGAATTTCAAAGTTTTTACGTACAAGTCAAACGAGGCCGAACTCAAATTCGCGACCACAGAGGAGTCACTGTTCTATTCTTCACTACAGAACAGCACGTACCTGACACAAGATCCCGAGGAGGCACACCTTTTCTTCGTGCCTTTCTCCACGGGCCTCTCCACGCGCGCTCTCGCGCGTGACCTAACACGCGTCCGCAACGAGCTCCCGTACTGGAACCGCACCCTGGGCGCGGACCACTTCTACCTCTCGTGCGAAGGAACCCCCCACGAGCCGGACCGAATCCTCGTGGAGCTGAAGAAAAACGCGGTCCAAATCTCGTGCTTCCCCACGCGAAAGGACAAGTTTATCCCTCACAAGGACGTCACGCTGCCCCCGCTACCCTCTCCCCACGCGCGCGCCAGGCGAGTGCGCGCAAGCGCTGAGGAGTTTTGCGTTGTGGAGTACGGAAACGGCGCGTCGTCGTGGATTGGTGAGGCGCTGCGGTTGGGGTGCGTGCCCGTGGTGGTTTCGGAGGGAGCCGTCAACGACATGCCGTTTATGGATGTGCTGAGGTGGGGAGAGATGGCGGTGTTTGTAAGAAGTGAGCGAGGAGTGGAGCGTGTGTTGGGTGACACGTGGAGGGAACGGCACGGGCGAATGAGAGAATTGGGTGTGGGCGCGAGTAGGCACTTGCAGTGGAACCGGCCTCCTTTGCCCTTCGATGCGTTCAACACCGTCATGTATCAGTTGTGGCTCAGACGCCATACCGTCCGATACGCGAGGATGCAATACAATTAATCCTGCATGTGACTGAATTTAATACTGTTTCTGCCTTCAACTATTTGTTGTATAAGTAATTTGAATAATGCATTAAGTAAAAATGTAATTATTTTTCCAGCAATCTAGAATTAATTTATACTTTGTGAACTTTGGCAAACCGTGACATATAAAAACATAAAAATTGGAGATGCGGGGTATCGATCCCCGTACCTCTCGCATGCTAAGCGAGCGCTCTACCATCTGAGCTACATCCCCATGACATATGAATAGTGTTTTGGTCAGTCTCATAATTGCTATAAAAAAAAAAGTGACGCAAAGAATAAAGAATTGAATCGAGGAATATAAATAAGAGGGATAAATAATCAATTTAAGTATTATTTAAATAATACTTAAACGTATTCTACAAATAACCTAACATCTTTGCTTTTTATCAAACAAAAACTTCAAATATAGTAATGTTTATTTTAAATGTTACGATCATGCTTAAATAACCACTAAGTGCTTATCCAGCTTTTGTTCGTACGGGAGTCTAATCGGAGTTCTTATTAGGAATGGTGCTTAAAAAGCATTTAGGCGTATAACAGTTGTTGCAGTTGCTATTAAGCACCAGGTGCTTACTTATACAAACACTGCATAACTTATTTTTTAATAAAATATATTTTTATTAAATGATAATAAATACCGTAAATTAATGTTGATAAAATATAAGAATGTGTGATAATTTCTGAAACCTATATTTAATAAAATTTATAGGATTACTAAGTTAAAGAAATGAGATACTTAAAATTGTAAAAATAAAATATACAAATGATGTGTAATAGTAAAAATAAAATACCCAAAGGATGAAGTAAATGAGTTGTTGGGCTAGAAATGACATACGATTGACTGTTACTATGTTGAAAACGGTATAGCAATTAATCAACCACAATTACCGGTATTTAAAAAAATTAAAATCTTAATATGCACTGATAAGAGAATTTTTTTTAAAAAAAAATCTAAAGTAAACTACAATATCTATTTTTTTTTTTCAAAAGTTAAAGGATATAGATCAATTTCAATAAATAAAAGAAGTATCATTATGTTACTTCCCAATTTTCTTTTCCAATAAGTATTTGTTGTGGAGTTCTTATTATTTTTGAAATTTTGAAATATTATAAACTAATTTTCGAATGTTTGGACCTATTACAAAAACCTTGAATATGGGGATTGTTACATAAGAAACAAAGATTAAAAATAAAAATAAAAAGTGACAAAGAACCAATGGGTTGAATGTATCAAATAAATGTACATTTCTTTAGAAGAGTCTCTATCTTTGAGAGTGAACCAATGGTTGAATGTTGATGGCACACCGACACTGTTGGATTTTCCGAACCAAAGTGCACAACTAGCTCTGCAATGAACTGTGTCAATGCCAGAGAAAACTCATCTTTATGCCAAATTATGGAGTCTGTTTCAGCATCAGAATGGAAGCCTATCTTGAAGGAAACTTCAATTTGCTCAACGAATCACTTCTTGACTAATTTCAACACGTCACCAACAAGATGTAAAGAGCCGGTCACAAGGACCTGATGCATCAGCGACACAAATTTGCAGTCAAATTTCTATACTAATAATAAAAAGGATGCATATATATTTCAAGAAAATTAGGGGGAAAAATGTGAGCAAAACATACAACAATGCAAACAGATAGAAAGCTGTGATTATGTCGTACTAGATATTTACAACTAATGAATGTAACATTATACTGTATTAGAATTTGATATTTCACTACAATCATCACTAATTACATTCATTAAAGGTTTGTTTGGATAAATTTCTCCAGAAACACTTATATAAGAGAAAAATAAGAAGAAAAAAATGAAATAAACTTCTGCATAATCTAAAATTAGCTTATGTTTAGGGTTTAGGGTCTCCTATTAGCTTCTTTAAAATCTTATTTTTAATTTGTGCATGAGCTTGTTTTAGTTTATAGAAAAGTTTATTTTAATTTTTCTTTTATAGAAGTGTTTATGAAGAAACTTATCCAAACAAACCTTCAATTATATATCTTACGATACCAGATATTTGCAATTCTTAGTTGTAATCTATTTTACCTGAAAACGAACTGACTGATTTTGATGCACTCTATCCCTGAGCCATTTGATTGCCAATGGCAATGACGAAAACACTGCACTATGTTCACAATTACTGGCACTCATTTCCATATCATCTTTTAGTTCTTCAGTAACAATGTCTGTAACTTTACCTGTTAAGCCAAGTGATATCAAACATATTATTTAAGTCATGATAATAATTCTATTCCATACCTATAAAACAATCTTGAATAATCACATTATTAAGTATGAATTTTGGACACACAATATGTGTCATTAATCAATACCTTTGCTGCCTTGCATTAGATTTTCCCACACTCTTTGAAGATTGAACTGCCACGACAGATCAACTTTGGAATCAGTCAGCGTATAAGCCTGGGGTCCAACTTTATTAAACACAGATAAACTTGGTACGAAGAGCGCCTTCTTGAAGTAAACACCTACAATTTCAATTTAATTATTTCTTTATTGCGTGGACAACAATACTTTCTTCAGGGAAAAAACTGTCGCTGGAAAAATGTTCTTCATTATTTTTCCCCCTAATAAACATAAATAATCACAGAACTAATAGAGAAGAAAGTAACTTAGGTGCCAAGTATCAATAACTTTACTCTTTAATTTTTCTTTGATTATCCTTGGACTGTCATTATTGGGGAATCAAGTTCTAGCATAAACCAGAAACTACTGACCATGATCGGCACACGTTTTCATCAGGCGGGGAAGAAGCAACTGTGGATCTCGTACAGTCAAACAATTGAACAGCAATATCTGCAAGTAATTCAATTAATTCAACTAAAAAAATCTCATGAAAAAAAGAAACATCATTTTGATTAAAAAAGAATGAGTAGCAGTTCCACTCCTATCCCATGAGCTTCTAATTAAAAAAAAGTATATATATTAAAACATAGCTAATGGCATATGATTATCTTGATATCTGATGCAAGGTTCATTTGATAAAATGAATCAGTAGATATCAAGCAAAAACATGAAAACTGGGTGTTTCGTGTCAAAGCTTTGCATACATTTGCATCTCATTTCTTCTGATAATTCAACCGAATTTAATGGTAGAACTCAAATATAAACCAAGAACAGTGTACAAATTTCCTAAATTTACAACAAGCATGAATAGCATAGGTGCAACTATCACTCTTTTGTAGAAGAGCAAAATGTTCAGATACATAACATCCCATGGGTGATTTAGTTAATGTGAAAGCCAGCTTTAAATTGATACCTAAATAGAAGATTGCAGTAAGCTTACCAATAAGATCATTAACCTGTCTCAAGTTATATACTTTAAAAATATAAGGTCTAAGTTTGAAGAAATTGATAATCTGTATTTCTATGGTTTCTATTTCGACCAATCTACATGCTTGAAGATAAGGTTAAACACATGACAGGCTCCTTCAATGGTGATTTTCTATCCGAGTCTGAGGCCATCAGATATTTCTAAACATTAGTTATTCTTAGCTAAAACATCTGTGGATGGAACCTGCTCAACAGAACAGACATTGCATAGCTTTATCTTACAGACTACAGCGACGTATCCAACTTCATCTTATAATATGTGATTAAACTTACAAAGCTACTTAAAGTAAGATTTTTAAATTTTTACTCTACCGGAGTGGATTTTATCTGGGATCCTCTCTCGCCATGGTGTGTCTTCACTACTTCATATGAGAACTTAGAATTATCACGTTGCTGATGAAACAAGGTTTGGTCTGGGTTGTATTCTTTAATTGCTAGAGAAAACCACTTTGCACAAACTTCCATGCTTTCAGGACTATGAGCCCCATCTAAAAAGAAAACAAGTTCATTTGATCTTTCACTCTTAATGTGTTGGTCAGGAACAATCTGAGCCCTTCCTTGCAAACTTGCACTTGTTAACCCTTTTATGAACTGCTCTGGCAAAGTGTCCTTCATGCAGGTAGATGAATCAGTTCAGCAATAAGGTATAAAAGATCAAGCTGTAAAAAGAGCTACTTTTAAAACTTACAGTTTGTTCCAAATAAATGTCTCCAAGATGCCCAGTCCTTTTGAGCCATGTAAAGCACAGTGCAGTGGCAAGACCTGCATTTAGATATTGGTGCTCACCTTCAAGACCAAGTTTTAAACCATTTAGCAATTTGGCATCTAATGGAGTTACCACTTGAAGAGGCACCTGGAATTGGCATGATTTGCTTAGCTGATCGGACTAAAGAGTCAAACATTTCCAATGAAGGTAGCTAGAAAACCTACTTGGATTTAATGTTATGTATACCCTGGCTTTCAGAAGATCATTGACACATGGAAAAGGACACAAAGCATGAAGACACAACTTGATGAAATGCAGTATGAGAATGACAAGACATGCTGAATCACATTGAAGGCCCTTTTCTCTATCCAAGATAATAAAAAGAATTCTAAATAATGAAGTTTTAATTGTACAACACCCTTTGACAGAATAAATAAATGTACAGAGATACATTATTTTAAATTGCTATCAAGTCATCACATGGTATAGTGCATTTGCACTTTTAATCCTAAACAAACATACATAGTGCCAAATTGCTCCCTTTGCTTGATATTGATGTCAATATTATACAGTTATGCCAAGTGACGAGTCATTCAAACTTATTTCAGAAGAAGCCAAAGAACTTCATGAAAGAACAAACTTACATTTAATTGAGAAGCCTTCTCTTCGAGTACATGCATTGCTTCATCAGGTTGAGGCACTGTGAAAGCTGGAATCCGATTCTAGAAACAAAGCAACAAATAAATAAAAGGAATTTATCAGGAAGAAAGTGCACATTGCAGATAGGCATCAAAAAAGATTTTTAATCTTGAAAAGATCTTATTCTACTCCAAAAATTACCTTGAAGACACCAGCCTTCTCACCGGCAATTTCTCCTAAAGTATTCCCTGTTAACAAAATCCAGAATGAGTAAACCCAACTTGCTGAACAAATTAGTGGCATAGCAACATTATGTTCAATCATATTCTGAAACATTTGTATTTTTTCAAAGCATATATTTTCAAACACAATAGTCATGCATTAAATTGATGATTATGTAGAATTGAAAAATAGAAAACTAACCAAGAATCTCCATGTGATCATACCCAAGGGAAGCTATTCCACACACAATAGGTGACTGAACCTGAAATATCAACATGTCTTCATGAGCTTGTTCCTAGATATTAACTTAATAGAAAATATCAATACATATACAAAGATTCAGTGCTCATTACTCAAGCAGTCTTGTTATGTTAGAGACCAACATATTATCGATCAAATGAAAATTAAACATACCACATTTGTCGCATCATATTTGCCACCTAATCCTACCTCCATTATAGCAACATCTACCTGCATAAAAATATACACAAAAATTATTTTATTCATTAATAACAACGTACACAAAAAAAAAATAGTATATATACAGAACAATTTTTTGCAGAAATTTAAAGCACAGGGATCAAACCTGCTCTGCTGCAAATATCTTGAAGGCAAGTAAAGCAAGGAAACGAAAATATGTAGGCATTGGAATATTGTCATCAGTTTTTTCCTGTGCACCAGCAAAATTAGAGACCAGTTACATTACTACTATGAGCAAGCACATCAAGTTTGTTGGGATGCAAGCAAAGTCCCACATCCTTCAAACAAGAGGATGGACCTGGGTTTATATACACACACTTGTCTCCATTGGGAGAGAAGCCATTTGGGTGATGTCCAAAAACAAAACCGTGAGAGCTTTGGCTCAAAGCGGTCAATATCTAACCAATATAGAGACATGTGTATATGTGTGGTAACTCCCCTAGTGCACAACAAGTGGTATCAGAGCCTGAGTGAGCTCTGTGGGGCCACCATCGGATGGTCCTTTCGGATGGTCCTTTGTTGGGATGCAAGCAAAGTCTCACATCATTCAAACAAGAAGATGGACATGTGTTTATATACACACACTTGTCTCCATTGGTAGAGAGGCCTTTTGGGTGATGTCCAAAAGCTTGTTTGAGGGGAGGATTGTTGGGATGCAAGCAAAGTCTCACATCATTCAAACAAGAGGATGGACATGGGTTTGATTATCATGTCATAAAAATGTGAGTTTGCAGAATAGAAGGTGACTCTTATAGACTCACCATATTGTTAAGTAAAACTGGGTTTTTCTCAAATTTTCCATATAGTTTTTGTTCCGGACGATATTCAAATTGATAGAGCCTCAACACTCACAAACCTTTCATTCTTTTTCTCTAGTTATATAACATTTAAGACCCTCTTCTAGTGTATGCTTTACCAGTATACAAAACTTGTCAAGGGTACAAAACACAACCAATTATTTGTTCTTCCATCACTATTTTCTTCTGAAATCAATGCAATAACTCAAAAGAGAACAACGGAATAGCTTCAAAACTACCAACATAATTAGCACAAAATATACTTTTTGTCACTCGAAGAGAATCTGGTGCACTAATTTACAGACATATAAAGATATAATTGGAAGAAAAAAAAAACCAGTAATACAAATATACTAGCAAGGAGATTAGGCTCTGGTTCAAAATCAAAAAATGAGAAAAAGGATGACCTAGTTTTCCACCCCATCAAAACCTTTGGTCATATAAATCCAAATGAAATATTTATGCACAGAAATATACCTTTAGTCTATCATAACACCACCAGAAGTATGCTAAAAATTTCTCTTCACAGATTTCCATACTGCAGAATCAGAGAACTATAATTATTTTGCAACTTAAGGCACAATATGATGAATAATTTTGTAGCAGAACAAGTCGATTAAGAAACTAATCAGAATTCATATGCTCAATCAGTATGCACCCTGCACAAAGCAGATGATAAACACATAACAAAAATCAAAGAATTCAAACTCCATTAAAAATATCAAATTAACTCAAAAAGAAATAGACATGAGTAGATGAATACATAGGAAAAGGCAAAAAACAAATCAACATATGAATATGAAGCACCCACCCATCTAAACGAAATCTTTCTCGAATATCAATGAGGTGAGGAGATGTGAAGAGTCCAGTGCTAAAACCACAGTTACGTAATATAGATTCTGCGAAGGTGCATGTAGATCCCTATGAAACCATAGTTCAGAAAAACAATTTCCATCATTACAATAAGCACAGAATTACTAATCATGCCATAAACATAGATCAGAAATCCATATCCAGGCTTATCAGTTATCTCAAACTAAAATAGGCCACAAAACACCAGCCACGTAGCAATCACTATTGCAAGAAACAAATTGAACTTCATATGATAGCTTCATTTCCAAGCAACCACCAAAGTTAAGTAAAACTACCTTCCCTTTAGTACCAGCCACATGGATAATCTTCATGTTTGCAATCGGCTCCTCCAAATCTAGCATCTATAGGATTGCATAATGAACACCAATGTTAATAAGACAAAACTTATATCCAGTTGCTTAAGTACTTTTCATATTAGTTTCATCTTAGTAATAAACATAATAAAATTTTCCATTAAAAATCAACATAAATTCCTAAGACAAAACTTCAGTTCTAATCAGAGAACAAATACCTAAAGCACTCAAGGAACATCAAAAAGCGACCCAATTCACAAACTTTTTACCTTTAGGTAATCAAACAACAGGTCAAATTGATCCCCCATGTTGGTTCCATCAGCACGAGTGCGTCTAGTGATCAAAGATGACAAGGCCTCCATTGCTTCTTCATAGGGACTCAAAGACGAAGCTTTTGGAGACCCTTTGCCAGCTTCTGCAAAAATAGAAAAGAAAAGGAAAAAAAAAAAAAAAAAAGACCCCATAATTGGAAATAAACAATCATTATCAAAATTGAAGTTTGAAGCTGAGTTGAAGCACCCCAGAAAGAAAGAGATGAATGGGGAATACCCTGTTCAGACATGGCGATTGAGGTTTGAATTGTGAATGAAACAGAAAGTGTCTGTGTAAGTGAATGGAGATTGTGGGGTTGAGATTGAAGGATTGAAAGGAGATAGAAAAAGTTGTCGTTTGTGGTAAGAGTCTTAGATTAATTCCATTTTTGTTTTTATTTTGTTTTGACCAATTGCTTTCGTTGGAGAGAATTACTCGGAAAGAAAGATAGCTTCATCTGATATGTACGCTATCTCTACCCTGCGGCAGAGTGTATTGTCCCAGTTGCTTATGGATACCAAGGATTTGAATCCTTCTTGATTTAGAGTCTCCAAAAATTAATTGCAATAGAACTAGAACTAGTGAGAATTAGACATTTTGTGTATTTTGTTAATTATAGTGATAAAAAGAGAATAATATTTTTTTAGTTAGCTAATTAATATTTTTGTACAGTTTTTTTGTAAATGATAGTTAATTAGAAGATAAGATTAGAAAAACACACCAAAAGTTGGTGAAACATTGAGATAATATTTATAGGATTGTCTTTAAATTTTGTTGTGATTGTAATTCTTACTAATACAAAACATACCTTTTTTATTATTAATGGGAGAAATGTTCACCCTTTATTATTTAAAAGAATAACATAATAAGAAGAAGAAATAGATGGTGAAATAAGAGAATGTGTAATTAATTTTACAATAATTAGTTATGCGTCTTAGTTGAGGAGTAAAAGAATAAAAAATATATAAATATCAAAACATAATATTTCTTTATTAATTGTTATAGATAATAAAATAAATATTTTAATTAATTAAATAAGATTGAGACTAATATTTGAGAAGAAAAAAATAAGTCCAAATGGTGTAAAGTTTTTTTTTTTCCTTTTATATCGTGATCTATCTAATAGTAAATTATTATGGTAAGTTTGTTAATTTTGATAATATTACACATTAAACTCTTAATATTTTTATTTCTTTAGGCAACATTTTACCAGAAACGATAGATATTTATATTAGTAAGATTGTGTATAAAGAAAAAAAAATATTAAGAACTTTTTTTATTATAAAAAAGTTTGTTAGAACTAAATAAGAATATTATAAACAACAAATTTTTCTTCTAAATATTTTTTTAAGATATTTGAACTTGAAATGACCGGTTAAATTAAAATATTTATGATAATAAATTTATCATACGTGATAATTTATGGTGATAATAATAATATATATAAAAATTGCACCGTTACAACATATAGTTGAAACATTTAATATGGACACTACAATCTTGGATTTGTATTATAATTAATGTATGTGCTTTTATCGGAAAATGTAACTATGTAAGAATTGGTTTTTTTTAACTTCGAAATAAATAACTTTATTACAGAGGAAATGAATTCAGTTCGTTACCGTATGAAAAGAACATTGGAATAAATACTTTTTCTAAAGGAGGAATAAACACTGATCAAGTAATGTTAATTCTATGATTTCTATTATTAAATTAGTTCTTAAAATTGTTTTATAAACTTAATTTAAATATATTATTATTATTTTACATTCTCATTGAATTATGAACAATAATCTATATTGGAAAAATATTGACTTTTGTAATAACTATTTTAAAAATCACATTTATGATAATTTTTAATTAGTTAAATATGCAATGACATTATATTCCTCGGGACCAAAGTTACCATAACTCAGATCCAATTATGGTCTTCCATCATCATGATTAAGCAATTCTAGGTTCGAGGTCAAGTCAAGATAAAAACATACTCCAGTATAAAGAAAATGCATGCGAAATTTGATAGACACACAATTGAATGTGAAGTTAAAAATAAAATAAAAAATCAGTGAAAACAGTAGTTAGTACATGACAATGCGGAGTAAAATATCAATGCGACAGAACACAAAATTCATTAAGAAAATTAATTAAATTTAAATTGATTTATTATCAGCTCAGCTATTATAATAATTCATTTACTAATTTCCGGTACATTTTTACTTGGTTTAAATCACAGTTTAAGCTTTCATTGACAAAGCGGTCCTATAATTTGATTACAAAATCAGAGTTTCCGAAAAGTGATGTAACTTATGGCCTAACTCTTCAATGAATTTCGATGGAAAAGCCACAATTGTGAGGTTTTTTAACATGAAATAGATCACTCAACAATGCTCCTGTAATTGGAAAAATCACCATCCTGTACATTTTCAAATCCCTATTAGTACAAAGCAATTCTCTCATGATATTTTTCTTCAACCACCACCAACTAAAACTAAGAGAAGCAATCAAGATGACGACAGAAGGCCATACACCAACTGTTAGTTTGTAAAAGAAACAAAAGACCCCACAAGATAGGACAAAGGCACCCTCCCAAACAAAAATGTCGCAAAGCTTATTCACACCCTATCAAAGCATTTGTCTCAGCTGCTGGTTTTCCTTACGAAGAGACATCACTTCTTTCATCAACTCAGCTTGGTTCTCCATAAAAGAATTCATTACAGATGAAAATTCCGTCTGTGGCATGAGACAATTAATTAGAGAGGAATTAATAAATGAAAATCACCTTCACTGGTTGGTTCCGGATACACACCTGTTGCATATGAAACTGTCTTAAAATTTCAATATGAAGGTTTCTCATATCCTCGTGTATGGATTTCTGAAAGGAATCCAGAGATTCTTCCAGGGTCCGTTGAAAAAGCTGAAGTGTAAATGAAGATCCTTGTGCATCTGACTGAGATGCTTTCTGTTGTGAGGTTACTCCCTACCATAAATTTGACAAATGAATAAGAACACTAGGGCACTATCTATATCAATGAAACCACAGAAAAAAAATATTCTAGGATGAAGAATCAGAAAATTTTCTACTCGATATATGCAATGCATTCCTCAGAACTAATTAATTTGTAAATTAACATACACTTGTCAGTGGTAATGTGCCAGATTCTGTGGGACCAGATGTATCAGACTTCAACAGTAAGCTATTTAGAAGTTCTTCTCTGGTTTCTGCTCCTGATTTCTTAATCTTAGGTGAGCCAACTGAATGGGACACCCCATCGCTGAAGGTAGATGTAGTGCTTATTCTTTCTGCATATGTAGAAAATCTTCGAGAAAAAGACGACATTCTTGGGGAATCAAGGATTTTTGGGGAATCAATGTTTGCTTGTCCAAGGCTGGATTTTGTATTGATATTAGACAAAGGCAAAGAAGTAGAGAACATGTGATCAGTAAACCCAAAGGAAGTCTCCTGGCTTGTAGAGGCATCCTTGGTGCGTAAATTTGCAAAATTTAGGCTTGAACTGGTATATGAGCTAACACCCACAGATGAGGATGTATCTTGCAATCCAGATAACATGGATCCTGCTGTCTGACCACCAGAAGCCAACATCCCTAAACGAGATGGTCCACTAACAGGCTGACGTGTATAAGCATATTTATCACTTAACCGCTCACCACCCCAGGCTTCTGGAGGAGTGATAGAAGAATCTTCATTCTTTGATGATGGAGGAGGAGTTGAGCCAACAAGTGGAAAGGAAGATTGAGTTATATCCTACAATTAGATTGCAATAGTCAAAATTTGCCTGGTCATAAACAAATAGCAAGTGTGTTTGATATGAAAAAAAGGGATTTGATTTATTTTTCAAACATTATGTTTGAAATGTTAATACATAGGCAATGATTTTTCTTTTAAAACCTCATGGATTTTATTACTTTAAATTTGTAAATTACGTCAAATATGATGGGGAACTGTTAGAATTTGATTTGATTTTAAATAAATAAACTATTTTAAACTACTTTTTTTAACCTTGCGGAAAAGTAAAAAAATGAAAAATATTTAAAATAAATCAAATCCTTTTTTAACAAGTTCCAAGCATAATAGATTTCCAAATCAATTCATATCCCATTTTTTGAACAAGTCCCAAACGTGATATTTAATTTTTAAATCAATTCAAATCAAAGAAAAGTAAATTATTTCAAATATCAGTTTATTCTAACACATGAAACTTCCCCAAGAAAGCAAAACACAGAATTCAAGCCAAGCTACATACGATACATCAAAACCTTGGGAATGATTTCAAGAAACTATTTAGAAAACATAACAGATAATCTTAAGTAGCATGCCTTCCCTGCAGGTTGAACCAAGTCGGGTGGATGGCAGGAAATAAAGATTATTTCACTAAGAATTGAAGGTTAATACTTAATAGATCAGTATTTCACAGAGCAGTTAAATTCAAAATAAGAGCCAGGAGAAACAATAACCTGCTTGGCAGTTGAGCCAGATTTCCAATCAGACATTGGATTATCACTGATTCCTTCCTCAGAATTTGAAAATCTTCTACTAGATGACGGAAACAACAAAGGCTTCCTATCAGCAAATAAATTATCCTTCTTTATCCCATTTTCATCCCATAGTGAGGGTGTTAATGGTTGAACATCCACAAGAGGGGAGAATACCTCCATGTCATCCTTAAAGTTATAACTACCACGCGGAGCATGCAACCTTGACAGGGTTCCACCTGGCCATAAATGGTTTCGTTGTGGAGTTTCTTCTCCGGCAGATGCATTTAGCATGCTTGATGTAAAACCACTGCCGGATGATGTAAGTGAAGAAGCATCAAAGGAGGCACCCAGCCGACCAGAGTTCCTAGTAACTGACACTGATGTAGATAGAGAAAGGTTTGATGAAGTTGCAGAAGGCAAAGGATCAGGCATAAGTATTGAATCTTCAACTGTATCTCCCACAAGTGCAGTCTCAGCAGTGCAATTTCTTTCATCAACAATAACTGGTTTAGACCTTTGCCAGCATAAGCTTGAAACAGCCTGTTGCATGCTATAATAATTTAGAATAAAATGAGGACATTAATTTTACAAACATAAATCAGTGAGCTAACGTTGAGTGATGAATGCTTCATTTGAAAAAAGTGTCATATTGTGTTAAAGGTGGAATTATTTATTGTTAAATGACTTTAGGGACACCTTTTCCCTACTTGCAAAGACTCTTGGAGTTTAGTTTTTGCATTTGCATAATCATCCAAAAAACAGAGACAACAACACATGTTCCCATCTGTTTAAGGAACTATTTGGATAAATTTCTTCATAAACACTTCTAAAATAACAACAACAAAAAAAGGAAGGAAAAATTCCATAAGCTAAAATTAGTTGATACACAAGTTAAAAATAAGATTTTTGGAGAAACTAATATGAGAACTTCTATAAATTAGCTTATGCATAAGTTAATTTTAACTTATGGAGAAACTTATTTCATTTTTCTATCTTATTTTTTTCTCCTAGAAGTACTTATAGAGATATTTATCCAAACAGATCCTAAATATCATAATTCTTCTTCAGTTCAGTAATATATGCTACAATAGGTTTAAAAACCTCACTGTGCCAAAATATCACAAATCACAGTACTCCCTCTGTCTCATCGCCAAAATATCACCAATCACAGTACTCCCTCTGTCTCATTAAAACATAGTTGCATATCTAGAATCACTAGTCAAATGAAAAGATGAAGTCAAGTGAGCAAAAAAAATTAGGAAACATGTATTAGTTGTAGGTCATAACAGGCCAAAAAAACCTTCTTAGTAAATATTTATACGTTACTCATCAACATAAATTCCAATACCCCCTTTTCTTAACATATTTGTGCACCACAAATATATAAATCTAGTGTTCAATGAATTATGGAGGGAGATCTTCATAAATTTTATACATCATACATATTAACAGACATAAATAAGGTACCTTGCTATCAGCATCATACATATATAAAGCATTAGGGGCATTGCTAAGAAGGCATTATCTTGTATAGATTATAATGCCTACTTTCCCCATTTGGGATCAAGAACAAACTAATTTGAAGTAATTGTGGAAATTTAAAGTGGACCCCACAATCCTTTGAGTTCATGCTAGTGTTAGATGCAAAACACATCAAGCAATTTTTGACTGCCATGCAGCTATCTCATTGTCAGATGAGGCAAATAGTGAATGGTAACTTGACAGGCTTAAATACATTAAACCACACAGGTGTAGACAAAAACATTGTAGATAAGGCTAAAAATTACCTCTGAACTACCATAAGCATGAAGAACAGCAACAGGTTGTGGTTTTCCACGAATATCATAGAATGCCACACGCCCATTGCTAGTTCCAGCAGCCAGCATCCAACCATCATCTCTAAAGGCCAACGAAGAGAAAGGTGCTTCATAAGAAATGCAAGATGATGGTCTTCTAGATCCAGAATCATAAATGTATAACTTTTTATCAAGGCCAACACTAGCAATGATCTGTTGATTGCAGAAAGAAACCAGAAAGCAAAATCATTGTAAGTCAAAGAAAGGTACAAAAGTTCCCAGATGGATGAAACAGTCTCGCTATATATATTACAAAATTTAAACTATCAATGAAAAATGAAACCTTGTCATTGGATGAAGAGAAGCTAATACCAGCAGTTGGTGCAGAATGCTGCTTTATCCATGAAACCTTTTTTTTTAAAAAACAATGAAAGAAAAAGAGACAAGAAAATATATACTGTCAACTAAAAAATATCTATTTGAAATAATAATAAAAATTAAAAGGCAAGAAAGGAGGAACTTACTACAGAAAGATTTAATTCATTAAACTACAATAATACCAAACTGATTGCTAAGACATATAATTACGAAGGTTGTATTAAGAGAAAGATGTTAGAAATTTAAGTTATTCTTCAATCTTTATTATTATTTATTATCAATCAAGTTCATTTTTCATAGAAGCTTGCAGCATATGCTATATGTACTTATAAAGTAAGCATATTGCATACCTTAGGGCTGCGACCAGTTGTATCCCACAAATGTACTGTCCCATCGTCACCAGCAGTCACAAGAAGGTGACGACTAACTCGAGAATAATCAAGAACTCTCAACATCTGGTCTTACAATTTCAAAGATGGGAGATTAGTCCATACACACTCAAGCAAAGCCAAGCACCAAGAAGCAGAATGTTCAAGTTCAACAAAGCAGAAAAACCTGTTGATTGGGATCTTTGAGCTCAGCAGCCTTTTGTCCAGAAGCGAGGTTATGAAGCATTAGGTCTCCACTAAGGCTGATAGAAGCCAAATGTTCATCCTTACAATTGTACATCACACCTGTTACAGTATTAGTATGACCCTTTAGCCATTTAATGCAGCGTTTCCTTTGTAAATCCCATATCCTTACAATTTGACCCGTTCCTCCAGAACAAACATATCTGGATGCCTTGTTACTGAAGCTGATAGCCATTATAGATTCCTGCCCGGAAAAAAAAAATTAAGAAAAAAAAGCAGCATGAAGCAACACAAGAAGAACAAAAAGAAAAGGATTGTCTGATTGATTGTGCCAAAATTATGAACTATAAGGACCACTAAAGAAGAAATAAAATCATTACACAAAGGGGTCTCCCTGCTACTATTGCTTCTTCTAAAAACGCCAAAGAGTCAACTTTGACGGGAGAGTATCCTCCCCATGCACAATCAAAGTTCAACTCAGTTAATTGAATCAAATAATGAAGGAGATTCTTTTGTCATCTTTTCCCTTAACATTATCATTAAACTTATGCCAAGAATTTCACACCCAAGTTTATGTTGAATTGTTGATAATGTCTATGCAAAATAGAACTGAGACAAGGCTTTTAAATTTGAGCAAACTTTTGATGGAAACTGATAATAACCGGCATATGCAGTCATGTATTATTAGATTTGGCTCCTCTAAAGCAAATGCCTATCCACCACTAATTTAAAGTGGGTTATGCTTACAATATGCTTCGATTCAAATCATCCATTAACAAATCCACTCTCTTTCACTCTATAAATATTCTCTCCTTAGAGAAGCTAAATCTTGCATAATCTATATCTATACATCTAATAAAGGTGATACTAGCTTGTTTTCACTTTTTTGGACCTATATACCCTTTAGCCACTATAAATCACCCATTACTATACTTTAATCTCATTCCTTATTCAGTCTCCCACATTATTCTCATACCTATTCATATTTACTACATTTTTAATTTTCACACTTTTTTTGTAATTAATAAAACTTTGAATATATAATAAGAAAAAATAATATAAAAAAGAAGACATGCAAACTGGTCGTCTTTCCACTAGTTAGATATTACTCTAATAACTATCAGATTGGCAGTTATGAGTAGAGTTAGGAGTAGTCAAGTATTGTCAGAGTAAGCGATCAAATATAACTCATCCTTCATTATCAGTTCTGTGTTAGTTAGCTCTTCCATAAGCACTTTTAGAAAGAAAAAAAATAAAATAAAATAAAATAAATTTCTTCATAAGCTAAAACTAACTTAGGCATAACATGAAAATAAGTTTTTGGAGAAGCTAATATGAAAGAGTTTCTACAAATTAGCTTATAATTTATGCATAAATTTTAACTTACGGAGAAACTTATCTCATTTGCCTTCCTATTTTTATGTTCCAAAAGTGCTTATTGAGAAGTTTATCCAAGCAAGCCTATAAATCAGAAGCTCCCCTGATGACATTTATGCATTATGATATATTTGGTAGTAGGGTGTGTGGTTAGTCAAGACATGTCCTCATTTGAAGTTTCTGATGTGTAAAAGACTTTTGAGTTTTTCTCTCTTAAAGAACACGTGCATTGCTACATTGTGCGTATTTTGGGTCAATTCATTGCTGCTTCACTTAAATTTACTGTAAACAAAACATCAAATAAGTAAGCAGGTGCCAAAATCGACCTCAATGTTATCTCCACTATCAGTGCCGGCGACGGGAATGGTCCCCATGCTTTGGCCATTCTTGCGCCACAACGAGATCTTCTTATCGTCTCCAGCACTGGCCACAACCAAATCTGCGAAAAACCGAAATTAACCGCGAATCGACGAAAATTTGAGGAAATGCAAACCCTAGAAAGCGAAAAATATATATATATATATATATATATAGAGAGAGAGAGAGAGAGAGAGAGAGAGAGAGAGAGATGGACTCACTGGTGTGGTTCCACTTGACTGAATTGACTTGGGAACCGGGAGAAGGGGTGAAGGTGAGGGCGCAAGGATCGCCGGGCGTATACACACCGGGCTTCACGGCGGAGGCGTCGAACAGTTTGACGGTGTCGCCGCCACTTGCCGCCAACAACGCCATTGACGGATCCAGAAATGGACCGAATTTGAATTTGAATTTGAATTGGAATTTGAGGAATTTAGGCGAAGTGCTTTTGCGAGGGTTACATTCCCGATTTAGATTTCAAAAGTGAGAATTAGAAACCCTACGACAACCCCTCAAACAAAGAGAGAGAAAAAGAGAGTGAAAAATTTGAACGAAGAAAAAGTAGAGTGGGCGCCTTTATATACTCTTCATCATCTCCTCCGCTCTCAATCACTCTACTACTGTCCAATTAATTGCCGTACCTCTTGCTTTTTTTTATTTTGTTTTTATTTAGTTAATTAATAATTATTTTATCTTTTCCTTTGCTTGTTTTTTACACCACATCGATCTTTTTAAAATCCTTATCATTATTTTTTAAATTTTATAATGGGTAACTATTAGAGAGAAATGAAGTTTCAAAAAAACATTTTCTATAACTTAACTAAACATAAATTAATTTTTAATTATATACAAATACCTTAAAATAAATAACTTACCTTATAATATTTTTATAATTTTATAATTTAATCCTTAGAGTTACATGTCAATTTATAATATGTAAATTTTGAATGAGTGATTTTTATTTTCACGTTTATAAGATTTTAATTCTTTCTCGTAATTTCATAATAAGAGTTTTAAAATAATAGAGAATTTCAAAGAATTAATTATAATATGTACCAATGATGAGATGATATAATAATTCTAATATAATTCCCAATGAGGATGTAAAAAAAAATTCTTTTAAATTTTACAAATTGTGAGCACACTACGAGAATTAACTTGCAAAAAAAAAGTAAAAACTCAATTACAATTTTTTTTAATTTAGATACTAAGTAAAAAATTTCAATAAATAAAACAAAATTTATGGACTAATTAATGTATTAAATAAAAATATTATTTAATCTGTAATAAAATGACCTTAGATTAAAATTACAAAATTAATATTGAAATAAAATAATATATATTTACATATTATTCTTCTAAATACAAGTTAGTAATATAACTCCACATAATAATTTTAATCCAATACAAATTGGGTACATTTGATTTCTTTGACGGAATCAATTTAAAGAAATAAAAAAAAATATATAACTTGCTTCAAGTTTGTTTGATTGAGATAATTGATTTTAATGAAAAGAAAAAGGAAGAAGTTAAAAAATATTACTTGGTTGAGAAGAGGGCATGAAAATTTTAATGAAAGAGAGAATATATATATATA